TATTGGTAATTTTCTTTGGCCCTGCAAGTGAATCCACTAATTGTAGCAGTTCCATTAAAAAGGAACTGAAAATGGCACAAATTTTAGATGCTGGGATGACCGGGCCTTAACAGTGGCACAGGTTGAGCTGGGAGTTTACATCCAGAACTGCAAGTCTGAACCACCTGGACTGTGGCGGCTCTGCTATTGGATTAAATTCACTCTCTATGCTTGTTTTATCTTCAGACAGGATGAAATGTGGTCAGAAAAAGTAATTAACAAGGAAAAACACCATCTGGACCAAGACCAGACTTAAAACTTGCAAAAACGTATTTCTTGATATTGATTTGCATTTACCTCTATTTACCAATTGCATTGTCTCATTGTCTGTGTGGCTGGTGTATATTTAATAGGAGAAATCATATCTATCTTGAAATGTTACCATCACTTATATCTTATACAGTCCATATGGCAGTAATGTGCCCTTTGTCTGGGGCATTTCGGCTGTATTGTTTTCTATTAGAACTAGTATTGCACCAGTGACCTTGTAAATCTTAAGTGACAACTCTAACCAACCCTAGCCAACAATTTATTGGCTACTTTACTGGACAAGATAGCTGAGAAGGCAGCTGCACTCTTACTGATCTCCTTGTAGAAGCTACACCTCACACGGTTCAAACTGTTCACACATACTGTACACATCAGTTTTTGTTGATTTACAAAAATAAACTGTGTTTCTGAAGTACACAGACAACACTTGAGAAATTATTTGGATGTTCTCCCAAGCACCTGAGTAAACCTCATACAGTGGCATCAAACTGTGAATTAAATGTGTGCATTGGAAGTGTTATTAAGACCAAGGAGATACTGTTTCTTGCAATGTTTTCCTCGCGCTGCAATACAAATCAAGCCTTGAGTATACACAGTTTGTACTTGGAAACTCTGCCAGTCGAATTCAGAGATTCCATGAATGAGTTTGAATGAGTGCGCTTGTGTATGTGAATCTCACAGATTTAAATTTCAGCCATTGCACTTCTGTTCAGCCTGAAACCTGGAGAGTCTTTCTGTTGTTCCAAAAGAGGACGCCAATACACACAAAAACAAGCGATTTAAAAAGTAATCATTCTACCTGCGGCTTTTCCACCAGGCATCTTCCTGTGTGTCATTATTTATAGTTCTTCGGCTGTGCCTCCATGCTAGAATATTCTAATAATGCTTTCCTTCCATTTATTAGATTTCTGGGGCCTCATGTGTTGACCACAGCAGTTCTCAGTTTTGCTGCAAAGCAGAAAGTTAAACTTAAGGTCCCCTATGGAACTGTAAAAGTAACAACGAAACTCCTGAGTGCAATTTCAGCACACAGCAGCAGAAGATGGCTCACAATGCTAATTGAAAGGCTGCAGCCATCCTACACAATCAGCCCCTTCCATGAGTGATTATCTGACTTGGTGACCCTGAATACAAATCCCCTATAGTCTCTAAACCCTCTGGTGCCTCCTGAAAGCCTGGCAAGAGTGACCGGACTGTCAGGGTGAGTTTCCAGCCTCCGTAGGGTCCTCATTATATGTGACAGTGAAATCCTCCTCTTTTCAGTTCACTACTTCCTACTTTCTCTTCATTTAAATGATCCCACATACACCGTGTTATTACCTGCTTGTTTCCCGCTTCCTAACTGATCAGATAAATCCCCCCAGGTGCAGACAGATACAAACCAAGAGCAAATATGGCTTCAAATTAGCACAATGAGTTCTTGTCGAAGCGCACACCGGTGCCCTTTTCTGAGCTGACCCTGCTGACACCGAGGCTTGAATTACTCTCAGTAGAAGGAGCGGTGCAAATGAAATATCAATGATTGCACTTTGTCTGTCAGGTTCAGTGTGTGAAATAAGGCTTCATTACATCCTGAAGGGTAGGCAGCGCACAAAGAGGCAATGAGTTGTTCTTTTTATATGTTAATCAGGCCTTGTTTGGTGGCAAGTAGAACCCCTCAATCATGCGAGACAAGAGAATCCACTCACATTTATCTTTTAAAAGAGGCTTTTGTAGATTTTCGCAAGGTTTAAGTAATTTGTGCCCACTTGCAGCAGTTTGCTTTAAAAAGTGCAACTCCTTGTCAGAGTCAAAACCTACACAAATGAGAACACACAGACGTGATACACATATTTTTTTCTGATTCAGCGTGACTTACACTTTCCAAGGATGTCATTATCTCTGATTTCCATGCGAATAGAAAATAAGGCGCTCCATATAACTCCAGGCCTGAGAATCATCACATTTTTAAGTTTCCCTCAGTATCAAAGTAAGTCAGTGATAGTCTGAATATCTGTGGGTACACTGCAAATAGGGAACTGGTAATTGCTCATTCAGCATGCTTTTAATGGTGCCAATTTGCCAAAAAGTATAAATAAATGTAAGCTAAAAAAGAGGGCTCACTGAATCCATAGCAACATTCTTTTTGTGGCACTATCAATATGTTTATTGACATTATTAAGGCTCACAATAACCCATAAACTTGGCATTTATATTCATGGAACACTGACACTTGCCTCTCCCCAGATATTTGCCTTTTGAAAATAACAATATATGCCTGGCTAACACATGCGGTGACTCTGCTAAAGCCTGTAAATAAAGAGTGGAAAAAAACAAACAAGCAAAAATGCCTAGGGTTCGATAAAGGTGATGTAACCCACTCATCTCTTTTGGCCATTATTATGGATATCCCTGCTGATCTGGTGGCGTGCACAGTGTTGTGTGTTCTCCTGGAGTATATAAACTACTTAACGTACGCTGTGTGTACCGTAGTGACACACTGGCACACACACATGTACATCAACACACACACGGATAGACAGGGAGCTATGTTCTGATCACTGCCAAGCCAAAGCATGCAACATGATAAGAACTTTTTTTTTCACATGAACACAGATGCATTACATGTGTCAACAAGAAGGCTCACCAGTTTCCAGCATGGAAAAGACCCTACAGTACACACATCAATGCATTATGGTAGTTTTACATTGCATAAATTACACTTTTGTTACATGGTAATATTCATACATGACTCTTTCAAACTTAACGTGACCACAGTGGAGAGACAAGCCCGAATGAAGTGACCATGAATGATGATGGATGCAATGAGGTGTGGGTGCTATGTGGAGTTATGTCGCTGTGATGTGATGTGGTGATGCCACGTGAGTAAATGATCAACAAATCACTGACAACAATGCGGAAATACAGAAATCAACAACAACAGAATACAGCTTTCAAAAAGAGATAAGACGCAACAAGAACAAAAAAGAAAGACAAAACCACAAGCTGCTTTCTATCTCGGGGCCCCAGAGAGTCCTCCTATGAAGTGGTTTGCTTCAGCGATTGGCAGGGGGGGCTGTTTTGAGGAGTTGGAGGGGTTGACAAGTTAGCAAAGACCTTCTGTTGTGCACTTTGTTTGTACCTTTAACTAATGGTCCCCAAGCACAAAGCAATCACCAAACAGAACAGCACCAAAACGGCTTCTATCAAGCAAAGTTCAAGCTGCTGAACTCCGATCGATTCTTGTCCTTTTTTTTTTTTCTACCTTTCCAATTTCCCCTCCAGCTCTGATTTTATGAAAGTCAGTCCTGTTCAATTTTAACCACGGCCTCTGGAATCTCCACATGTATTTAATAAAGGCATGAAGTGACTTTTGTGATACCGTAAGAGACTTGGGTTTTGAGTCAGTCACCATCTGACAATTTATTATCTGAGTGGCTTTATGAAGCCCTTTTTTTTCTTCATTAAATTGCTGTTCATTAAAGTGGCAAACAAAGCCAATAATGAATTCCCTGCTCCCCTCCCACCCCCCACATTTCTTTGTCCTTTAGTGTCTCCATGTGGCTGATTTAATACAACACAGGCCTTCCGAAATGTTTAAAGTGCGCTTTCTGCCACTTATTTACTGCGGGGGCCGTGATTTGCCATCAATACACGTTTGCTTATCTGCTATTTTCTGCATAGCTCAGACAATGCAGCACAACAATCCTGTAAAATGTGCGGTCCACACAAAAAACAAACCATTTTGGGGCGGATGGCTTAATTGCTACTGATGCGCCTTGGCCAGATGAATGCTGTAATTTTCAGTGAAACTCCGGTGGTGGAGTGCACTTGGGTAAATAAAAGCAGGCGGTAGACACAACATTTTGTGCTGTCAGTCCTGCTTGAAAGAGGCGAGATAATAAAGGCATTTATTATTTATTTTTGTTCCTGCTTATGTAATCCTATAGACTGCCTATTCAACGCTACATATCAATTAGTATACTCCCTCAAAGCCACCATACAAAGGTACAGTTACAGCAGCTTATTATTACTTGTTCTATTTTTCATATTTCCCAGGGCAGTGGGTGCACATTGCCACATCCAAGTAACATCAGAGCTTTTAAAATGGCAGATTGTTATTAAAATAAAAGAGTTGGAGTTCATATATAAGTATTTGTACACAGTTAGATTTTCGACAGCATCAGCTCTATCACTATCATGTGCCAATCTGACATTAAAAGATAACAGTATTATCATCCTGCTTTGCTTGCTAAACTCAATGTTATATTTTCCCAATTATTCAAAGCTCCACCAAGGACTTGACCATTGTCCAGGAAATGGGATTTTGATGTGATTGATTTGGATATTACTACTGTGTTCCAGTGGATTTATCTCAATAGACAGACAAACAACACAACAACAAAGACCCAAAACCCAAGCTGATGTATCCAGAAGTCTCCCTCCTATTGGCTCTTTGTTAACACAGAGGGGAGGAAATTCAGATTGAAGAAAGGAAGAAACTGAAGCATTTGCAACCACTTCAACTTAGATAACACTGCTGGGGTAGTTGTGTTGCCTACAGTAGCTACTGCAGCACCGCTACTAACAGGATGCATGGTAAGTGGCTGCAATTAAAATTTACAGAAAATAAAAATGTAATTGTTCAAAGTAAATAAATAAGTTTAAAAAAATATATTTGTGCAGATGTTACAAGGATGCAGTTGTCTTACCTGGGGACACAGGCGGTAGAAGTCTCCCCCTCAGGGGCCTCCGGGGCGGGGCAGCAGAACTGGTGAAGCACTGTTTGGTTCCTTTGAGCAGAAGAGTAGAAACAGAAAAACTGAATAAATATAAATGATCAAAAGGATGTCATTATATACTTCATTGTAAAAGTTTATTTTCAATACCATTCCTTGGAATTGACCATTTGCTAAACCCCTTTCCCTGAACAGCGAACAAAAGAAAAAAATTATTCAAAAAGATTTGTTCATTTAATTTTGCCCATCACTAGTCCACATGTTGAAGCGGTGTGCATGGAGCTGAACAGAGATACCATAAAGGGATTGGATGGTCCTATCTTTTTCTTCTACCATCTCTAATACCAAAAACAACAAGAGAAGAAGTATAAGAAATTGATCTGCTGTGTCCTAACACAGCATTCCACACTATATTATTACAGGTTACGTAAAAAATAAATAAAATAAAACTTGTTCATGGTAGCACATCTGTTGTTTAGTAATTACCCAGTGGGAAGTCCTGCTCCTATATTTTAGCACATTAGCAGCTCTGTCCTGCTCTTTATTTGATTAAACATAACTAATCACTTTTATTCATAAACCTGTGACTGTAAACGTCATGACAATTCTGCACATCATTATTTACATTGTTCTATTTTGTAGGCTTAACCTAACTATACCCATATTTTTAGTTCCGTTAACTACAATGCCAACCCTTACCTTAACTATATAATCGCTGCCATGCCCAGAAATTGCAGAAAAATGACGGCATTAGACATAAAAACTAGAAAACTATCCAACATTGGCATTACTGTGTGCTGATTCAATTATAGAATCACCAGACAAGAATTTAAACACTATCTTGATATTCCTGCATCAAAACCTAGAATAAGTATCTCTTAACTGACATAACCTAGATACAGATACAACAGAAATGTGTACAGTTGATTTTGTTTATTTGCAGCTAACCTACAGGATGAAACACCCTGCCATTCCTCATTCCTCCCTTCTGTCACCTGACCTGTCTCCTCCGTACACACCTGCTTCCCATTCATCATCAGCCCCAGAATATAGTCCACAGTCAGCATCCACCCTTTTGCCATTAGGCCTTGATTGTCCACTAGGTCTCATAACTGTAGATTTTCCAGCCTTTCCCCTGTTGTGCCTGCCTGCCTGCTGTTTGACTCCCTCTTGCCTTAGGCCTTCTGGTTTTGTCAGCCTTCTTGTGCGATCTGCAGACACAATCATCATTTTTTCTGATTACTGACCAAGTAAAGAGTGTTTCCACCCTTACAACCGTAGCCTGCAACGTCTGCTTCTTTTGAGTCCAACTTTTTAGAGCAACTCTGTCTAGCCCTTACACCACCTCGCTCAACCCAGACACAATGTTGCTGCAGAGGTTATTTACAGGGAGACTTTCAGGATTACCCTAGCATAAAATCTCTGGCCCAATGTCAGTGAGGTTGGCAATCAGAAGACAATGGCCTGGATTTGAGCCACTGACAGCTTTGTTGCCCGGTTTACAGCAGTCTCACTAACACTAGACCTTGATACAACCAGATGTCTTTTACATTCTCAAGTACTCACAGCTGCCACTGATGATTGCCAGGTTCTGTCAGCACCAACACCTCAAGGCTTTAAAAAAGTCAGGATACAAGATGGATTTAATTATTTTCTTTTTTTTTTACTGACATGTCAATACTAATATCTTAAGACTGTACTGACTCTGCTAACCTGTGTGCTGATTTCCAAAAGCAGGACTGGAGCCTCCGCAGAGTAAAAGTCTTCTTCTTTTTACCCTTTGGTAATATTTTTGTGAATCCTGACCACAAACAGAGCAGAACAGGCAGTTTGTGCAGTTAAAGGTCCAGTGTGGAACATTTAAGAGGCTCTATTGGCAGAAAAGTGGCAGTTGTTTTTTCATTCTTACTATACATCAGTGTATAATCACCTAAGAATAAGAGTAATTGTATTTTTAAACTTAGAATGAGCTGTTTTTATATACAGATGCTGCAGGTCACCTTCCATGGGGGTCGCTATGTTTCTACAGTAGCCCAGAATGAACAAATCAATCAATCTAGACGCCACTAAATCCTACACAGTGGACCTTTAAAAGAGTTCAAAGAACCCAACTTGGAACACAAAACATCAAAGGAAAGAAAGCTCTACAGGTGAATTTTAACTAGATAATATCAATGTGAAGTGCAACGTGTTTATAGACTTAAAAGAAGAGTGTGAGCAGTGTCTCAAAGTCTGGGAATTTTAAAAATAAATAAATAAATGAAAGCTGCAGATGAAGTCAAAGGCCACATTTATGTGCTTTGCTTTTGATGTATGTTTTTTTTTCTGCGTTCAGTTGATCTGAAAATTATATAAAGAGAGAGATATAGAGAGAATGTAAGTTTGAGTGTTTCATCACCATGGAGATAGACAGAAAGATACACGTTTCACTGTTTCAGAACCACAGAGAGAGAGACAGACAGACAGCGAATGTGTCAGCACCATGGACAGAGACAGAGGAAGAGACAAGGTTGAACTTGAAGCTCGAATCTGAAAGAGAGGTTCTCAAAAAAACAAGGCTGCCATACAAAGTAAAACTTAGTTCCAGTTTTTATAAAGCAGTGCAGGGCTGCAACTAATCATTATTTTCATTGTTAATTAAGCTACCTATTATTTTCTGGATTCACTGATCAAACTGTGATCAAACATGTCCTCACATTTCGGCAGAATAAAAATAAGAATAATTTGCAGGATAGTGAACACAGAAATTTTTTACAATTTTTTTTAAGATATTCCCCTATTTTACTGGAACGTACTCTGGATACAGTCCCAAGTGAAGACTGATACTGAAATATAGCATGGAAAGAGCAAGGACATCAAAATTTAATGTGAGAAAGAATTGAGTGCATTTACTTTCTCCATCAGTACGTCTTCTCCTTCAACCTGAATCCTCACATTCTTCACATTCCTGACTTTCGGGCTTCATCCGTCTCATCCTTCGGGATCGACCCTTCCCCCCACTCTCTTCCTCTCCTTCTGTCCCCTTTAAAACTGATTTTCCATTACTCTCTACGACTCCCCATCCCCCCCATTCTGGGTCCTAGAGGCACGGTGTGTTATGCAAGAGAGGAATTTGCACAATTACCCTTGCTGTCAGAAGATGTAGCCAGTAAAAAAAGAGCAGCTGCTTTCCATATGTCCTATCCCTGGACACGAAACACAGAGAAGGATGGAGAGGAGAGAGGTGAGACATAAAGATGTGAAACCAAGGCCACTATTCTGAGCAGCAACCACTCTTCCATCCCTTATCACCTCTCTGTTGCCTTTTTATCTTCTGCCCTGTAGTCAATCTTCCTTCCCCCAATCTCTTCCCCCCCTCCTGTCTGTCCCCTGGGAGAGGACAGAGAAAACAAGGAGACCTGTATGTCTTCTTATATACCTCCTTCAAGTGCGTGACTGCTGCTTCACCTCAACAGCACTTCAATCTGTTCAGTCTAACCACCCTGCTCTCCGTGCTGTGAGGTTCAATAGTTTATCACACAATACACAAGGTAAAAAAAAAAAGAATTATTTCTTTAGGCTAGCCAATAAGAAGCAGAGAGAAAGACCTTAAAAAAAGGAAGGTTGGGGGGGTATTTGACAGCAACAATAGCAGACAGTACAGGGAGGGTATGACAGCAAATTAATTCCCATTGTTAATGCCTCGTCTAATTGTGTTTGCCTTAACGACCATGACACCGCTGTGGCCATTTTTAATAGGTCGAGAACACAGTCGGTCTCTGAGGGGACACAGATTAGTGCGAGCGTTGAAAACAGCAGAGCCACTTGTTCGCACAGATAAAGCGTGTATATTCTGCAGGACGAGGTTTAAAAACATCTAGGTTAACAGACATTGTGATTTTGTAAGATTTACAGCAAACTGACATGAGTAAAATAAGTAATTCTTCAGTTCTCTGATAATAGAATATGTTTTGGCTCTTTTGGCTAGAATTTACTTTTTTTATAGAGTCACACAATCAGTTTGAGTATCTTTAAATAGTTGGACATAAGTACACTTATACTCACATTCTTGCCAAGAAAGTGGCATCGATCTTCTCACCTCACTTCCAGCAAGTAAGCAACTTATTCCCCAAAATGTCATGGTAGTTCTTTAATTGGAGTTATATGATTAACATTTGAACAGTATTTCTACTAGTTCTTGTGAATATTACACTTTTTATGTAACCAAAAAATAATCAATATTGTGATCTTTTAACCCAGAAAATATAAGAATAAGAGATGCATAAGTAAACTCCTTTTTGGTTATTCTATATCAGTGATATAACATTTACTGTGATCGTCAATGTGCTGTTCCTGTGCTGATTTTAATCTTAAAAACAACTTTTTATGATTAAAAAATAAGCACAAAAATGCTGCCAACTTACTTTACACCTATTACATCCTCCATTTTGAGAGGATCCTAACACTAGTTCGCCATCATCTTCCTGATCTGACTTTGGAACGGCCTCTGATTTTGAGTGCTGAACAAAATACGTATGAATAAAGACCCCATAATCTCAGACACTCAAAACTTGCTGAGTCGTCCTTTACTTGAAACCAGCATGGGGGAAAAAAGCACAGCTCATTTGAATTTAATCAATGGCTATTATTGGCGAGCAGGGTGTGTATCGGGGTTAGTTGCCTCTCATGATGATCCAAAGACACAGCCATAGCTGACATATACCCACACTCAGCCAAACTGTCATAAATAAAATAGCATGGTCCCATTTGAGTCACTGATTTCACCATATTTTTGAAAATCACATGGACTCTTTTTATCTTTTAGCACCTTTCGTTTTGATTCATCTTAACCATCTGTCTTTTTCTGCTTTGATCTCTGGCTTCTCACAATTTTCTCTCCATTATTTTTGCCATCTCTCTCCGCTAAGTTTTATTATCAGCTCCATCTTTCCACTCAAAAACAGCTCGCAAGCACTTTATAACAATTTTGCTTTATGAGGGGACCTTTTAAAAAGGCACCTCTGTGCTGCAGAGATAGCACACACCCGACCTGAAACTGCACAAAAGTCATACAT